TGATGATGGCAACATATGTACAAATGTGCTTGATACAATTGATGTATGGATTGTTATAAGAACTATAAGAGCCCCTAATAAAATGATTTATTAAAATTAATTTTTTTTAAATTTAATCTCAGAAATTTACAGGGGCAGTTCTACCCTGCCCACTGGGTCATTATGAATCAGAACTGACCCAATAGCAGTAAGTTTGGGTCTGTTGGTTTATTTGCTTTCCAAGTATGGGGGTTATGGAGCCCTGGTGGCACAATGTGTTTAGTACTGGCTATTAAGCATAAGGTCACCAGTTCAAACCCACCAGCCGCTCATAGGGGAAAGGGGCCCCTGACTGCTGCTCCCATAAAAAATGTCCATCAAACACTGCCATCAATCAAGTAGATTCCAACTCACAGCGACCCCGTAGGATGGCGCAGACTGCTCCTGGGGCTTACAAAAGTAACTTTTTACAAGAGTGCCGAACGTTTCATTTTTCTCCTGAGGAGCAGCTGATGATTTCAAATTGCTGACTTTGCAGTGACCCACAAGGGCTCCTCTCGGAAACCTTAAGGAGGTCATTTCTGTCCTAATTGATGGCGAGGAGTCAGCAGGACTCGAGGACAATGTGGGCCTGGGGTGGGGGCAGGTAGGTCATGCCAGGGGTGGCGGGTTCCTTGTAACTAAGGGTTGTACCAAGTCAGCCATTCGTAACCTTGGAAAGCACTTGCACTTGCTTAGTTTATAGCAAGCACTCAATCAATATTAGTTACTATTACTAATGATACAAAAAAAGAGTCCTAGGCACAAAGGATTAGGCATTCGGTTGCTTGCTACCAGGCTGGAAGTGGAATCCAGTCCATGGTTGTGCAGGAGAGAGCCCTGTCCATCTGCTCCCATGAAGCTTCGGCCTAGAAGATCCTCAGCCTGGTGCTCCTAAGTAAGGCACGGTTGCCATGAGTCAGGACTGACTCACAGCACCAATGAACAACAACTATGATATGACTTAAAATGACACATTGTGAGCAGCTGATATTTTATGTTACAGGATGGGGGTGGCGGTGGTTACACTAGACAGACGGTAAGGAGGATGTTGTCCTGCGTGGAACCACAAGCAATGCTCATGGAAGCAGCAGTCAAGAGATCAAACACGAGTGGCATGAGTAAATCAGCTGCACAAGATCTCTTTAGAAAACAAGGATGTTGCTTTGAGGACTAAGTTCCACCTGACTCAAGTCACGGTGTTTACAATGACCTTATATGCGGTGAAAACTGAACACTGAATAAAGACTGAAGAATCGGTGCATTTGAACTATGGTGCTGGAGAAGAATATTGGAAGCACCATGGACTGCTAAAAGGCCAAACAAATCTGTCTTAGAAGAAATACAGCCAGAGTGCTCCTTGGAGGCAAGGATGGTGAGACTGTGTCTTACATACTTTGGACATGTTGCTAGATGAGACCAGTCTCTGGAGAAAAACATCAAACTTAGTGTGTTACACAGGGTTCTCTAGAGAGATAAAACCAAATTGCTGATAATTTAATA